CATTCCTTGTGCAGAGTTGCGCAGGCCATAACGGGCACCATCCTTAGGACCCCAAGGGTAAACGTTACGATCGGTAACCACTTCTTCACCACGACGCTTGTTGGTAGCACGCTCAGGGTTGTTGCCAATAAGGCCCACTGCAGCATATTCCCATTCAGCTTCTGTTGGAAGGCGGTAGTTTGGCAGCAGCATACCATCTGAATAGTTACTGTTACGGCGACCGGAACCGTTAGGATCCAGATCACGACGACGGCGCGGACCTGCCAGACCTTCGTACTGACCAGCTACATAAGTTTCATTGGTATAAATGTCCTCATTAACCTGGTTAGGATTCTTTTTTAAAGCACCTGCTTTCATGAGAATGTATTCATTCACACGATCAGAACGCCATTTTGCAAACTCATTAGCCTGTACCCAGTTAACACCTACAACAGGGTAGTGGGCATAAGCCGCATGACGGAAGTAGTTATTTACCAGCGGCTCGTTATAAGCAAGGTTTTTACGCCAAACTGTAGAGTCCGGTAATGCTTTATAAATAAGCTCAGGATAGTCGGAAGAGTATGCACGCTGCAGCCAGTAGATGTACTCACGGTAGTGAATATTAGCTACTTCTGTTTCATCCATATAGAAAGAAGAAACGGAAACAGTGCGCGGGATGTTATTGCGCTCAAAAGCCAGATCTTCTTCCGTTTGGCCCATTGTAAAACGGCCACCTTCCACAAAAGTAAGACCAGGACCGGTTTGCTGACCTTTATAGTCAGTTACGTCAAAGCCACCAAGGCGTGGATCATTATATTCCCAGCCAGTGGCGCGGGATAAACCGGTTGACCTTTTGGAGGAGTTGGAAGAGCAGGAAGGAAACAGAGTCGCTGCTCCAAGGCACAGCAAGCTAAGGCCAACAAGCGTTCTTTTCATAATCGAAATCAAAAGTTTGCTACGAGTGAGTATGGTAAAAACTGTTAAAAGTGTTACAATGATAGAGCAAGTTTTTTGAAAAGTCAAGTATTCCCCGAAAATGAAAAAAAAAATTTCCTGAAGGGGCC